GTAGCTCCAAAAGGCCCGATGGAGCCCAGCCGGCAGCAACATTTGTTCATCAATCCACGATTGATATGTCTTGTTTGCAAGCTCGCTCATGCTTGAGAGTGTCGGACCAAAGGTCGAACGAATGAGAAATTGAGCCTGGGCAGCAGCATCGAATGAAAGTGAAACAGACGCATGCCGTACTAATTAGCTGTCCGTGTCCTGCACTTCTTCGTCGAACTTGGCAAACAGGTGACGGGCAAGCTTTAACCCCGATCAGCACGGAGTCATGGCTGAAAGGACATTCAGAAGACATGCGAGAAACTCACCGCGTAGAACCCGTAAAGAGTTTGACACCTAGCACCAAACTTCGCTATGAGAATGTTTGCAACACCCAAAAACCAAACAGTCGCAAGTGCCTCCCCTTGGCCAGAAGGCACTTCCCTGAATTCTGAAAGTCATACTGCGACCGCCACCACGAGCCTTGGAGCCTTCCTCGAACCCCTGCCAGAATCGCAAAGCTGCTCTGGATGCTCCGAGACACGCGACTGGCATCAGTCGTGGTTCCCAAGGTCGTGGACGTAGTCGTCGGAGTGATTTGTGAACCAGCTGGCGGGACAGAATCAAGTGTGACACTGCCATGGACATGAGCATGACAACACAGTTCGAGGTTGCACGTGGCTCTTCGCGGCCTCCATTGTAGCGCAAACACCTGAAAGTGAAGGCTGGATCAGGGTACGCATACAGCAGGTGACGCAAAGACAGCTCAAGCCAGAGTCAAGACGCTTGAAGCCACTGAGGGGCACAGTGGCCTGTCCAGGGAATCGGTTCGGAACTCTAAGACTGAGGCTAAGGCTAAGCACTGCCGGCTTTGCCTCTATACCTTCAGGGCGGATCCACAACTCACATCTTCCGAGGCTGTACTCGATTCCGCCACACCCATCCTGCATCCTGCATGCATCTTTACAGTCCTTAGAGGTTGGCTCGGCTGCAAAACGAATAAACTTTGGGGCCTAAAGAGCTCTCTTTTGCATGTGCTACTGCAACCCTCCGTGCAGTCAAAGGGCAGCCTCTGATGCTGCACCTCTCGAGGCAGGCAACACCGAGACTGCGTGAGAAGCCCTGCTCGTAAACACAGTAGCAAACGTGGTCATAACGTTCCAGACTTCACAGACGGTTCAGGAAGCTACTGCGGGCTCTCCTGAGGTCAAAGCATGCACACTACCTGTAACCCTAGCCTGAAGCAATGATGTAGTTTCGTGGGTTGTTGTCTGATGTGCTTGATCCTCGACACGCCCGATTGTCTCCATCAATCTTGGTGAACTCCAGCCTTTCGCGTGCACGCTGACCACAAAACACGGTCATGGTCAAATGAAACTGAATGGATTCCAAGTGGCTTCATGCACAAAACTCCCGGTGCTGGAATGGAAGCTTTAATATCATGCGACCACACTTCACAGCGCGAGCCGCTGAATTCGATGCCTGGCTGACAAGTGAGCTGCGCTGCATTACTACGTTTACACAGGCATGAGGACAACCCGGGTTCCCAAACACTTCTGCCAAACGTCCTGCCTGTACAAGTAGCAGTGTTTCTGCATAGCTGCTTGCACTGGCCGAGGGAGGTAACTGTTTGCACGGTCTTGTAGCTTGAAGAATCATCTGCAACAGTCTCTCCACGGCAGGCACGATCAATGCCAGCACCAACTTCAATGAAATCAGAAATCTCGTAGCTGTAACACGAATATCCATCCAAGCCTGTGGCTATGAAGCTCAAATGCAGCACTGTCTGCATCAACTCTGCGCATCGCTGTGCAACAGCCATGTAGACTGGTAGAAAGAGTAAGTTCGGGGCTGATGCTAGCCTCGATCCCGCCCTCCCGAGTCCAAATCTCACATCTTCCAGAGCTGTGGTATTCCACGCCTTTGCAGCCTTCTGTGCTCTCGCAAAGCTGTTGGCAAGCACTCAGGTCGGCCAGCCCCTGAGTTCGCGACTCTTCGCAACACATGTTTGCCGCAGTCCGCTTCTTGTCACACGAACATGCACTCAGGTACACTCAAGCATCCGAGTTCCTCTTCCAAAGCAGTTGCTAGTGGACTGACTTACTGTTGCACTGTAGCCAAAGGTCACCTCTTTCCTGTGACGTATGGCCGCTTGATGGCTGCCGACATGCTCATGTAACACTCTGTGCACTAAGGCTTGACCTGTCCGCTAGCCAAGATGTGAAAAATTGTGAAAACAGAAACAGACCAGTTGCACTGACCCTTCAGATAGCAGCGGCAGCTAAACTTGGCGCCGGAACCGTTTCATGCAGATACACAGTCCTTCGTCATGAACCGTTTCCAACTTGAAGGCATAGCTGCGTTGCACTGAGTATGCTCGGAGTGCCTAGTGCCGCTGCATCCTTGCTTCAGAAGCGGCACCGAACGGAAAAAATGAGCATCAGGTTTCATGTGTGTTCAGCACACGGGTAGGTGTGACCCTCTGGCCCCACTCACACTCACATCTTTGCTTCATGCCATGTTGCCGTTTGCACAGTGAAGTACGAAGCCAAGTTGTCTCCAGCTGACTTGCCACGGCAAGCCCGATTTACGCCGCCATCAACCGGCATCCACTCAAAGCCAGAGGTCGAAGCGAAGGCGTGATCCTCACGTCAAAACCAGGCGGATCCGCTGCCGATGCTAGATGCTGAACCTCGCGCCGTGGGCATGCACTCTGAGCTTGAATCCATCCCAGTCAGGGTCATGAGCCGACGGAGGGAAGGAGTCTTCTGCAAGAACACCAAACCTGCCACACAGCAAAGGACGGCGTCCCAGCACATTTTCGTTTTCGTGACAGGGTGCCTCCTGATCGGGGACATGTTTCGTTCTTTACAGCAGGAAGAGGAGTCGCAGCTGCGCTCGCGAGCCCAAACCTCAGCACCCGAGCTTTTGCTTTCGTCACATGGCACTGGAAAAATGAGATGCAAACAAGTTGCCAGCACAGGCAAAAGATCCTGCTGTACAATTTCATGGTTGGCCTGTTGGGCTTTCCTGCTGTACATGCCAAACAGCCTTGAGCCAAAATAACAGTTACGAAATTACCACGATGCCTATATTGCAAACCACGAACACATGCATAATACTCAACCGCGATGAAAGTCGATGCCTCCTGATCAACGGAAGCTGTGAATGAGTAGTTTGCCTGAGGAACGGAGAAGTCCTGGACAGATGTAGGCTAGGCGTCGCTGCTCAGTCGGCCTTTGGTCCTTTGCATTTGACAGCCCGACGGCCCGACGCTCCTTTAGCCTCTCCTCGAGCTCTTCAACGCGGTCCTCACAAGACGTAGGCGGCAAGGTGGACTGCTCACTGCTCTGACCACATCCTTCAATGCCGAAGTGGGCTCTCGAAGTGCTCCATAATAGTTCCATAATTGCCCTTGCCTCAGTGCCATGCACTTGTGCAGGTCTTTCTTGTATTTTGTCACGACACTGAGGCCTTAACAAATCTGCGCGAAGCTGAGCAATTGCTGCCTGCCAGCTCTTCTGAATTTCCACAGCACAACCACCCGAAAGCCCACGTCATTGCACCCACACATGTCGACACCGACCCCCTGGCTCTTCTGTCGCTGCAGAGTCTTGCAAGCTCTTATGCATCGACAGGGGGGCAACGGCATGCAATGCCTCGAGCTCAGCACGCAATTCTGCCATGGCTGGCGTATGCTGCTCGGCTTCACTTGCACACTCCCGCTGACTGCTTCCAGCTCTACGGAGGCTCCTCCATAGTTGAGATGAACTCATAGGTTTCGGTTTTGTCTTACTGGTATAAAAATAATCTCGCCCATGCCCGAAGAATGCCATGTCAAGCTTGTGTGCCCGGAACAGGGTCACTTCAATAATCCTCAAAGGCGAGTGCTTCCGAGAAAAATTGCACATGTTGCACATTGCCTATATCGTCGAACCGCAACTGAACACAGAACGGACCAACAGTCGTGCTCTTTGGCCTACTAAGGCCACAGACATTTGCGCCGCCATTCCCTGCAGTGCAATGAACAGCTTCGGGCAGGCTATGTGAGGCAAGCAATATCGATCATTGTCATTCGATAACCTGGCAGCAACTTGTGCAAGTGCAACCCGGCCTGCGTAATGTCGTAAACATATGCAGTCACCTTGCAATTCAAAGCGCTTCTCAAGTTTAGAGTCACACGTGCCCTGCAAAGACCAACTGTGGATGGCCTTCGCCATCACTACAAAGCAACGGTTTCACAAAGAAACGACTACTGCTTGATCGAGGCGTGTTGCATACCACAACTGCAATGCTTTAACACTGATGAGATAACACAAATGCATTTCAGGAGCATACAGCCTGAGCCAGAATCACGTTCACTTCCGTATCTCAACTGCGCTGACAGTCGCACCATACACACCGCAGAGTCAAGCTAACGTGCAACTGCTACCCAAGCTTTACGAGGGCTTGGTCTTGGTCGCCACACAGTGCTGAGAATTTCACATCGGTATGCACAAAATTGCCTGCAGATGGCAGCGACTGAAAGTCACAGGACACATTTTGATGTGAATTCGGCATGGTCATGCACCCAAAAGAGGCATAAAACTCAGAGATGTTCCGAACTTGCCTTCCTACACTTCACGCCACGACACCAAATCACAGTAGCAAACCCAAAGCTCCAGCCTAAAAACGTCCTGAGTCAAGCCGTCAAAAATATTTAAAAAAAGAGCTGTCTGGCAACTGAGATATTTAGTAGTTGTTCTATTTCGCAAGAAGCATTCCAAGCAAACCACCGTCATGGTCGGTATCAACAGAACTCAAGCTAAATGAAAATCTGTGCACAGGCGTGTGCGCACCCGCACACACACACACACACACAGAGACACACACACACACACACATACACAGCTGCAAATGATCGACAGTCTTGACGGAATCGTACATAGAATCATGAGTTTATGTTGACAAACGTAGATCGATGCACACCCTCTGTTTGACAAGCGCAGCAGCTCAAGAAACGGATGCGAAGTGGCAAATGCCAACTACCGCCTGTATTCAAGAGCAGTGGCTGCTTCAGCCGCCGCATTAGCCAAGTTCATTGCTGCTGTCTCGAGAGCAGCCGCAGTTGACTGGTCGTTCGGGATGTCTTTCTTGTCAACTCCAAGCCCATACACCGTCTTTGCAGTACATGGAGGTGCACTGTCATCGCGTGCGCGCAATACTTGCAGCGTGGCCCGCAGACTTTCCATGCTTGGAGGAGAGTCCTCAACATCAGCGACTTGCTGCGTTGAAGGCGCCATATCGAGAACAGCCTTGGCAGCAAAAGATGCATCCGCCACGGCTTTCCTCCAGGCGGCCGCGCTCTCCCCTCCCAGATGCCGCTCATCTGTGCTTTGATGATTGTGGCGGAATGCCGACAGAATGTAGGCCTCCTCGTTTTCCTCAGAAGACTGCGGTCTCAGCACAATGCATCTGCACTCGCCGCGCCTCGTTGCTGTCCTGCACGGTATCATCCGAACCCTGGTGTTCCTCGAGCAGCTCCTCTTGCTCAACAGCCTTGTCATCTACTTGCAGTCGTCACACAAAACATGCTGTGTAGGACCGAAGTCCTAACAGGAGAAGCTGGGAAACCGCCCGCTACGACTCCCAAAACAAAGTCACAACAAATCTTGTTCGCCCGAAGCAACCACTGCATGGGAGACATGTTCTTTCATGTGCGGCTTCTGTGCAAAACGCTGGTGGGAAGTCATAACAATTCTATCTTTTCCCCTGTAGCCGCACCTCCAGAGCTGCAAGTACAGGAACGGACGGGTGATGCTTTCACGTCTTGTCTGGGGTGATACACCCCAGAGATAAGATAGATGTGTTGGTTCTCGACCAAACATAGTGACCGAGACTCCGTTTCGATAACCACAGCTGATTGAAGAAAGTCTTCGACAAAACCAGAAACAGCGTGGATGCTGAAACGGCTGCTGTTTGGATGCGTGCCAGGCTTGGCTTCGAAATGCACAATCCCAATGCGGACGCTGAAGCGGTTGATGTTTGGTTGTGAGCCAGGCTGGGCTCCCATTGCTTGACCCCAATGTGGACGCTGAAAGATGCATATTTCCTCAACAAGACGCAAGTTCAACCCTCGGTGCGAAGTTAGGTCTGGATTGCCTTTAACGCGAAATATTTTAGTTGGAGGCCTTGGAGCTACATACAAGTTGCGATTTGATTGCTGCGAGGCCATTCTAGCAGGCCTTAGTGAAAGTGCAGAACAAGTCAGAACACATGCGGTTACGACTTCCGCTTGCAGCTTCCCTCCAATGTCTGCTGCGATCCAGAAGAGAGCTTACGATTCGACCCCGGACAACCCTGCTGCTGAGAGCTGAAATGCTATGTTCAACGTCCTCAAGGCGAGTAGCTGCAACTCCGTCGCCACCCGCTGAAGGCTCTGGACACAAGTTCGGACGAGCACCGATCGACCGGGCGTCTGCCTGCGCGATCGCAAAACCAACCTCCAAAGCTTGCCATGAGGTCACGTCGCCTCCCAGCGAGAGCCCACAGCCGGCGTCATCTGCGTAAACCTTGCTTTCTGCAGTTGGCTGCGAGAGAAGCGCACCAGTGGTTGCTAACTGGGCTTTGACATTCCCGAACTGACCATCGGCTACAGCCGTGTTCCTCATCCACCACCACCACCACCACCACCACCTAGTGACTAGTTTGCTTTCTGAGTCGCAGGCTCCTTCAGATCAACAGCCCAGAGAAAAGATGTATTTTCTGAGAAACACCCACAGACACAGATACAAGATCATACTAGGCTCAGCGAGGGGCATCATTGAAACAGAAATGGAGAGCTAACACCAGCAAGCTCTCGATTTGTTCAACTTTCTGATGCCACGACGGAAACTTCGGACCCTCCAGAGGTAAAGGATGTAGCGACCACAGGCACCCAATCTCTGAGTCCCAGGCCCGAGATCGGGTCCTGGCATGGCTCGCATACTCGAAGTTCGATGTATCACCTCTGATTTGGCTGTGCCGAAGTCTGTTGGGGAAGAAACGGCACAGGATCGGGGAGGAAACTTCTTGCCAGGAAGCTGCACCCAGCACATAGTTTGGAGTCGGCGCAGGCCGTAGCACGGACCGATACGCCACCACCTCAGCAGGACGGTTGCAGGCATGCATGCGGAGAACCAGCTTCGCAAGCCAAGCTTCTGACTGGAGACAGTGACCGTGCGGCTTCCCACCCTCGAACTGGAGATGACACAGAAGCAGCAGACCTCGAACTATGCTTCGAAGCTGTGCATCTCACAAAGTAGAACTGTTGTCGCATGCCGAGCTGGATGCGGTTGAGTATAGCTGAAAGTAGTTCGGAAGGATGTTCCTGGTGATGCAGTCGGCGACGGTGGCAACGTCGTCCAGTTACGATTTGAGGCCTTGTTGCAACTATTTGCCGCAGGTCTGCCAAAGTCTGCTTCTTGGGCAAGAACGTTGTTTGCTGCAGGGATCACCGGTGCAGGAGAGATCGATCTGGCCCTGACAGGAGTTCGAACATAGGGAGTGTACTGCAAGGGTGTCGAGCACGTGGAACTCGCTCGTGGAGACAACGGAGACACACTCCTCAAGGTCAAAGGTTAAGGCAAGGGCTCCCAAGTGCGCAAACACAAGCCCCTGACATTCTCTTTCAATGGCTTCAGAATCCATCCTCCGTGTCGCAATTGCTCCCAGATGAACTGCGGCCAGTTGATTGCCCAAAGGCTTGGATGCCACGGGCACTGGGAGCCTTGCACAGGAAGAGAACACAGCAAACATGGGCGAAGCATGTCGGTCTCAGAAGCAGCCCCACTGAATGAAAAAGGAAAACTCAACCAAGGCCGCCTAAACATCCACCCAACTGGTATATCCACAACCTGTCCTCAACCAATTCTCACCATTCACAACAGTATGCACAACTGCAGGATGGACGTCGCCACTGCCCCGGTACACGTGGTGCTGACTCGACTGCCGGCGCGGGCATGAGGACTAAAAAACACTGCATAGAGAATCAAAGCAAAATTGCAGAGGTGGCATGACAAGCATGGAAAGAAGTTGGCTCGGTTCGGTTTCGGTGCACTGAGCAACCCTCGAAGAAGGGGCGGCTAGCCGTGTTGCCTAGATCAAAACCTGTGATGAGACATTGAGAGTCTCAGATAATTACTGGCTTCTACATAGGTTCGCTCTGTCACTAGCCATCGTTTCAGTTTTGTCGAGGTTCAGCGAAAAATGTTCAATCCAGTATGCAAGCACAAACAAGTTGGGAAGGGCAGCATCCAATTTCACAACCCGACATGAGCTCGGACAGCAACAAAACAATCCAGGTCTCACACATCTCTGCTCCTCCGTTCTCAAGTTCGCTTGTCCAAATCCTTGCTAAGCACAACATAGCTTCGAGAACATTCAGCTTTCGTGCGTTGTTCTGCCATGTTCCTATTGCTCCTTTTTTGATGCCGGGCTGCAAGTTCTAAACCTGTGCTGAGGTCGTGAACTGCGGAAACTTTCGCTTCGAATCGGCTCGTCGCTCGCTGTTCCAGAACAGCTGACATGGTGCTCATGAGTACAACTGTACACAGACGATGTTGCTGGACTTTGGTGCCTTCGATTTTTCCGCAGAGCTTGCACGAACTTCGTTCCTTAACACATATCTCGTTGCCGCTGCAACGGTCACACAACATTGTTGCTCTGAGGCTGACCTGCTGCAGAACAATTCTCACATCCGAGTCGCAACCGACCAGGTCCAAATTGCAAGGCATCGGCGACATGTATGTGCATTAATGTTTGCATGTGCTCAACCGAACGTTCTCCATCTCTTCAGCTCCGTTTGACAGTCTGTTCTTGGACAAGCGCTATTAAGGGTGGCCAAGTGAATGGGGTAGAGCCGCTCCGCCAGATCATACGAACGCGCATAACAATAAAATTGAGTATGGTGTCCCGCCAGGTCCGTTACCTGGGAGTGTAGGGATGGATGTGAAGTTTTACCTATGAACCAAGGAAGTGCACGCGCTGCATGATCGTATGCATGAGGCTGTGAATAAATCTTTGGTGAACCTGTAAGCGACGTCCAGGAGGTAGTCTTTGCAACGAGGCTTAAAGTTTTAGCAATTGTGCTAGCAGCTGGCCGAAATGTCTCCTCAAGCAAGCGTATAGGAGTATGTGTGTATGTGCAACTATGTGCACATGGAGATCCACCCACCCACCCACACAAGAAAGCAAAACAAAGGATGGGAGTGGCACGTTCGTGTTCAAGCTGCGAACGGAAAACAATCTGCGGACCCTCGGAGCCTCTCGCAATCACTGCCTCAAGCGGGTCTTTTTCACAAACCCTCTATACTCAAAACTCGTGACCTCCCCACACCCCATGTCCGCCCTCCTATCTTTCCACCCTCCCAAGAGATCTGAACAAACCAATAGCTTGGTGTATTCATGTGCATTCTCCGTCTCAGCCTGCCCCTGCATCTACCTCTGGCCGAGGACTAGATGTAGACACCCATGCCCATCAAAGAGCATTGAGACATACGAGTCGGACGACAACCTTTTCAATCGTCCACTGAACCAAATCAAGCTTCAAGCAACCCTCGCTGCCTCTACCCACCCGTCAGTCCTCCAGCACTCACTCACATTCACTGCCCTGGCTTACGTGACCCACGTGGCCCCACCCGCCCTTCCGCCCTGCCCTCTTCGCTTTCCAAGCTCCCGAAGGACTTGAACCAGAAACTCAGCAAAACGGACGGAAGACAGATACTGCAGTGTTGAAAACCCAAGGTACCTTGTTCTGTCTGAGCAGGTCCCCAAGTTAGAACATGAAATGTTAGCAGAGAATACAGGAACTTTCTTGACGCTGATATATGTTGCAACCGAGGTGTTCAAGACGGGATACAGAGTCTGGAAGCAGCCTGAACTGTTTCAAAACACACTATATACTTGATATGAAAGTTGATAGCTCGCATATCGCTTACCATATAATGCAAGGGAATCAAGGAAGCAAGCGCACAAGAAGAAGCGCCACCCGGACAAAACCCACAGAACGAGCGATGCGATCGTGGCACATTGAAGCACAGGCAATCTTGGTCTCTACCGATTTTCGTACGTTGTACACTCACACAGCTATAAAAAATGGACGCCATATCTCTTGCCAGCTCAGGAGTTTGGCGTCTTTCCCTTGCTAGCTGTTTGCACAGGAAGATTCCCTCAGGAAGATAGTCTCCCATGTCATCGGTTGCTTCGGAAGCAGGCCCAGTGGCTGTGTCCTTGACAGTTCCTAAACGCCCCAAACCCTAAAAAGTCCTCTGGTGTGACCCTATGCTTCCATGAGCTAGGAAGTTTCACACCCATGCAGTTCCCGGTCTGAGCCGGTTGTCAGGGGTGTCCGCACGTCCTTTTTTAATGTTTGTCGTCGTAATCATTTTCGTTTCTTTTAATTCGAACTTAGAATTATTGAACCTGACGAATCCGTTACCAAACTGCACAGTGTCAACGACTTGTCGATGCAATAAGAAATCTCAATTCCAACAGGCTATGCGTCTCAAGGCTGATGAACTCTAACAGATCTACGGTGAATCTCTGCAGGGAAGTGGCTTCAGTGTCCCACAACCATATCCGCACCCTCTAAGAGGCCCCAACTCTTCAGGTTTGGTTTGGGGCATCCCCTTGCATTTTAACATTTGACAAAGTCGCATCTTGGTGAATCAGTCAACTTCAGCTACCACAAAGAACTAAACGATCATTTCCTTAGGAACAGGTTCTCCACACACACAGACACAGACATTGGCTTGGCACGAGTGACTGTGAAGAGCGAGTGACAGGACGAAACGACGACAGATTGCGTTGACCTTGCAGCTTTCACTGATTGGCTCAAGCTAGAAGCAACAGCTTTCAGAGTATTTTGGGCGGCCATGCAGGTACACACCAGGACGTCTTCTTGGCAGCAAGCCCAAATACTCTGTCGCTGCCCCCTGCTGACGAACAGACTAGCCGACTCTCTATGGCACATTTGCCGAACGGATATCAAGAAAAACGCGACTTTTGGGCCATCCTGCTCTGGCTCCATCCCTTGAATCTCTTGTTGTCCTTCTTGATTGTCTGGAGATTTGTCTTCGTCAGGCTTCGGTGGCTGAAAAGCCTCGTGTGAAGGGATGCCTGGCAACATCTCCCGCATCCTCACTTCGTCCCTTCGTCCCGCTCTTCTCACTTCCTACCCACACCCCATTGAATGACTGATCTTTGACTTTCATTGGGTGGCATCGCTTGATCCCTAGAAGTTGTTGCCGGCTTATGCTGCAAACGCAACAGGATAGGCAGAAGCAGATGTGCAAGACGGACAGGAGGCTGTGTTAAAAACAGGAGGAGACGCAAAGGACACAAATGGACCAAAGGCTGTACAACTTCCTGTGAAGACAGCTGCACACCAGGTGCAGGCATGCCGCGGTCTGGCAAAATGACCACCACAAGCTCCTGAACCTGGCAAGCTGTATGATTCCAATTCCTTGAATGTGTCCCTGAGTTAGACTGGGGAAAGCACTGAATGGACCAGTCACCGGTTCTGGACAAGTCCGGGACCTGTGAGGTTGAGCTGCATAATATAAATCTGTGTAGAATAGACGAGACCCAAAGCGAGCGATCTAGCCGCTCAGCGGCACGCGAGTGGCTGCACCCCCGGCTTTGCAAGGGTGTCGCAGCCGCTGCCTCGCATCGCATGCAGATGGTGTAGTTCAGTTCCGAGTGTTGCAGCAGCAGGCTGTTTTCTCCACCATCTGACAGGCATTTCGCAGTGGATCTCGTGAGACCGCTCAGTGATAGATCACGCGCTCCCGTAGTTCCTTAGCAGCGAGGCCCATCATCTCAGAAAGCTTCTATCGTACTGGCTGCCCTTCCGTTGCGGACACTCAAGGCAAAGCTGCAGGAACGTCTTGAGGCCAAGTGGCGAACCAAGTTTAAACCTCAGCCGTTGCGAAGACGTGCCAGATTCCGAGAGAAACAACGCATTGCAGATCAGCAGCTGTGGCACTCCGACGGTGGCAGGTTGCTTGTTGTGGAAAGGTGTCTTCCTCAGGTTCTCAAGCAAAGCCGTTGTCTCTGCCATGGCTAGCGGCAGACAGGAAGATTCTATTGCCAAGGCTTGCTGCATGGATTGCTACAGCATTCACGCGAGCGACAGTGACCCAAGTTCTAAATTGCGAAGCTTCCCTTCTAGTACCGTCTTCAAAAATTCAGACCTGCACAATAAATCAAAATGTTCGGCATTACACTCCAAGCTGTACAGGCATGAGAATCCACACAGACAGTTTCGGCATTTCGACCTCCACACACATCTCCTGAAGCAACGACAGCCGTAGAGTATGCACAAGTTTTCATTTGCACATTTCAGCATATGTATTTTTGACCTGCGTATATGCTATGGTCGGAGGTCATAACTAGATAACTACACGGCACCCGTCCCGACCCTGTCCCCATGCCAAAGTGCCGTCTCCTGATGCGCTCTAGCTTGGGTCGGAGCTTTTCCATTGTGTGACAGTCAACACAGTATAGGCGCTGCCAAGCTGGTTTGAAAGCTGAGTCTTCCGACAACGAGCCATCCCGTCGCGATATGAACGGATGCTGTAAAGCCTTGTATGGCTGCTTTCCCGGGACCCGATAAAGTGGAAGAAGACACGGGTCAAGATGGATGAGTCTCTCAGCATCCATGAGCAGGCCATGCAGCTGGACGGTAAATCCCTTGCTTGGCGTTTAATTAATCAATCTACATCAGTAAACAAGAACCTCGTCCGTCGTGTTCTGTGCGACACGTGCATGCATTAGTGCAAGTTGACCTGAAAGCTTCGATCTTGCTCGTAAGGCTGCTTCTAGACTGTAGATGCTTGTCCACAAACGCAAGCACACAAGTTGAATTCAACACAAGGACGGATTGCTGCGTAGACCGTAGACCAGAAAATATATTTTCTAACCAACGTTGAATCTGAGGTGAGCTGAGCGACCAAGTCTTCACTCGATCCATGCACCTTAGCTGCCTTAGCTCACTCGAACAAGTTCGCCGCCGGTCATCGAGCTTCTGCAGCCCCCGGCGGAGTCAGCCCTTTATGTCGATTATTCCAGGATTTTCACTTAACCTTCTAGGCAAGATGCCACATGTGGAAAGACATGCCAACCGTGTCAAACTTCAGCAGAGACTGTCTTAGCTGTGCACTTGTTGCGATTAACGTCAAAGCCTCTTCTCCAACTTTCGGAAGCCGTAAGCCGTGAGCCTTTACAGGCCTTTGGGTCTTTCCCTGCAAGCCATCTAAGCAAATCAAAGCGTTGCCAAGAAGTGCTGACGTTCTCGACATTCTTTGATAATGGCTTGAAGTGGAATCAGTGGAATCAGGGAGAGGCAGCTAAACTGGCTGGGAGGATGAAGGACACTGCGTGGGCAAAGTACAAGTTGAGGGCAAGTTAAGAGAGTGACCCCCATCACGTGCGAAACTTTCTCAACCAGCTATCGCACCTTGCTGTTCCGTGATGAGTCCAGCGACCTGGTCAACATCTCCTTCACGGGATAGACACAGCTTCGGATGAGCGACAGCAGAAAGGACCTGACGCTTGCAAGAGACCTGACACACCTCACTGATGTCCGCCAAGCCAAGTGAGGCTCCGACCCAACAGCGAAAAGCAATCTTGTGATCACCGCCTGCATGCATACAGGCTCTCAAGGAACTGGCTTGGGAATTGCAGCTGTGATGTCTGAGGCCAATGCTGTGCAGTCCAAGCAACCGTACAAAGCCAATTTGATGCACGACTCCTCAGACTGAGAGTTAAACCACCAAATTCACTCACTCGCTCACGCACTCACCTGCTAGATGAGGAAGATACCTCGGGAGGAGCTTCTGAAACATCCTTACTCTCTTCGGGATCTGCATCTGCCATGGCTGTTCTTCAGCTATCATTACGAAGCCACCTGCTGCGATCTGCTGCGAATTGCTCACTTGACTTTCCTAGGTCTGTAGGTCTACCGTACTCTTGCAGTGGCATGTTCCCGGTTCAGTCTCATGGCACTCTGGCCGCGGAGCCGCGAGGCAACAGCGCTGCGCTACAGAAACGGGTCGAGGGCAAGCGAGCTTGGCGGCTGGGCGGACTTGAGCAGAAGCTTTTCTTCGAGGATTTATCTCTCAGCGCGGATCATGTTGCCAGCGGCACCAATCTCCTTGTCGTGAACAAGCTGGAGAGAAGATTATCCGGGTACTGTAACAACCGATGCTGTGCTTTACAAGCAGCGATAGCGCTTCCAGCATGGGGTATTGCAGGCATCAGAGGGCCTGATGTCATGCATCATTTGTACCTACCAGGAGCTTCCTTTCTCCAGATGCACTCCGAGATGCCACGTATGCATCGACCACATTCATCATATAGCCTCCAGAGTCCTGCACTCATTCGGCAGATCATGCCAAATTCTTATGACAGTGCCAGTATCGTGCCGAACGGCAGGCCTTTCGGGAGCTTCTTCCGCGCGTCTTGTTGCGACAAGTCACAGTGCAAGATCCTTGCGAGGTTCTGCCCTTCACAGCGTGGTAGCATTCCAACACTAGCTCAGAACACAAAAGAACCAGGCGGAAAACGGCGTGAGCACAGACACTGAAACCTTATGAAGTCTGTTTGCAACGCCAATGCGGATCCCCGGTCTGAGACTGGGGCGATACAGTTTCCAAGATGTCGGCTGCACCCGTCTCAGAATTGCTGCACTCAGCATTCCTTGAGCTTTTTGAGCTTGCGGCTCGGAAGCAAAAAACGGCACCATGAACGACGTCGTGCAATAAGGCGTCCATCGTTCGTTCAGCATGTCGAACTGAGAGTGCAACCCCAGATTCAACAGCAATCGATCCTTGCACCGCAAAGCGGCAATGCTGATCATAGCGCTGGGTGAGCTGAGAGCGCAGCAACTGTGCGATGGTCCTGAACAAGTGCTGCCAGGGCCTGCCGTGCGGACGAAAGCACTAGAAAGGTAGCTTCGGAGTTGTTCTGGTGCAACTATTAAATTGCACGGAAGGTGCGCACACCTCGAGCTCTGTGTGCAGCTGTCTCCGCCTGCAAGAAGGGTTGAGAAAGGGAATTGGGCAAGCCTCAGGTCGCCGATCAAAGACGCAAGACCTCTCGAAAAAGAGACAATGTTAGCTTGATTCAGACGGTATCCATTCCCGTCTGCACTAGACCCATTAGAATGTGTCGGCTGTCCGTACGTGCGGAGGACAGGCAAAGTCGTAAAGGATGCTTCACAGAAGAGGAAAACGGCCTGCGCACTCAGTGAAAAATCTCTGCACCTGCTTGTTTCGCTTGCCAGTCACAAGCATGCTTTGATTTACAGCCCTGGCACTCTGCTCTCGCCGCGGGTGGAAGATCTGCGCTGAACCATAGTTTGCGGTTGGACATGTTGCTATCGCTCTTCTTCCTTTCGCTTTTCTTTCTGCTGGGTGCAAAGGGCCGGCCTCCCCCCGAATTCCTTTGCACTCCACTCGTCCAATCCTCGCTTACCATCCTTTCCTGATCTCTGACTCTATTCCACGACATTCCCATTGAAACAGCTTTGTCGCGTCTTCGTCCGATCCATGATGAAATTCTTGAGCTTCAGAGAAGCTAGGGGACGTGAGGCGGAACAGTCCTTCTCTCTGTCTGCCGTCTCGTTCCCGCGTCCCAGCCCCGAAGTGTCCTCCACTCCTGAAGGTCCACAAGCAGCCTGCAGAGCCACACGTCCGGACTGCCCACATTCCTCGATCGCTGAGTCTGCGACACTGATGTCTTGAAATGCTGGGCACCAGGTGCTGGAATGAAGCTTTGTGCCTGCGGGACGAAAGACTCACATGCAAACATGAAATTTTGCAACTCCTTTGTGACATGCAAAGCCTGCGAGAAATTGGCGGATGCTTGCCGCAAGAAAGCCGTCTCGTCCTCTAGACCTGAAGTCAAGGTACTCAAGCTTATGAAAAGCACACCGAACTAAGCAATGACGTACTTGCTTTCCAGAAGGCCTGTGCCATCTTGTACCGCAGCGACGGCAGTCTTCATGCTCAAGCGACAGAGGGACATGATGTCGGCCACCACCTCGGCTGCAGCCTTTTACCGTTCCCAGTTCCTCTCTCGCTGCTTGAGGCACGGGCAAGGGTCTCTGCATCCAGCCACAGAGCCCGAGAAGCTGAGGGGGGCAAATACCTGCATACAGTCATCCTACCTGCTTCTGCAGTGGCTGGGCAGGGACTTCAGACATCTGCCGCACGTGTTGCAGCTCCGTGCACGACCAGCTTCCGAGTAATGCGAGCCGTCTCAACCCTGGACAATTCGGCTGCCGTGCCGACATGTACGACTAGCTATCCTGTCAGAACAATGGATAGTTCACAGTTTGGATTATGGCCAAGCGCGATGTCATCGTGAGGCACTGATGAAGGTAGAAGCGACTCATCTGAAGCTTGGTTCTCCTGCCGCCGTGATCGCAACCCGTGCAAACACTACCTGGCACCAGAAAAAGCACGATCGCAACGCACCTCCTGAAGCCATCCATGTCCAGCTGAGCTTGGCCTTGAGGCGGAAGAGTTCTGTGTGCGAACCTGCATCTGAGATCCATGCAAAATATCAGTAGATATAGACGCGGTTTATCTCTGAAATGAGACGGGTTACTGGATCATCACATCGGGCAGGGCATGAAGTTCGTGAAGTTCGACATGAGGTGCTGCCTGCCAATGCAGAGGCAAAGTGGTTTACGGCTTACGTACCATACTATAAGAACCCAAGAAGATCTCTGCCAAAGGGAATCATCAAGAGCCTCAAGAGCCTCTCGCTCAGGCATCAGCACCCGCCCCCTCAGACTAAAATTTAAAACATGCTGCCATCAACGGACCGTCACAGACCTGACATTTCAAGCAGTCACAACATTATCGAGTCTTAAAGTTGGCCAGCAGGTCAGCAGGCACGCCAGCACCACTAAAATCCTTCTGAGCAATTAGAATTGAGCGCTTTCTTTGAATGATATTCTCACCGGTTGCACTTTGACTTCTGTAGTCGGTTCGGCGCGGCGGCGGCTGTGAACGGCTTACAGCCTCCAGCAATTTGGGCGTTTGGTTCGGATTGGCGGTTGCCTCACTTAGAGCACCGCATGACTCTGAGGAGACCGCCGGAGGCTCGGATTTGAGTGCACCGTCTATTACAAGGGGTGGCAGACAAAAACAGTATAGATCCCGGTTCACCTTAATTACGCAAGACTTTGTCGATTGCATTTGGGTTCCGATAGCAAGAGGGCATAAACCCTTCCCAGGCCTGGTCGCCCATGAAGTTGAAGAAACATGCAACCAGCTCCTGACGCTTCGCCAGTGGCAAGCAAATTAAACGTTTTGGACAGTCTTCCAAGAAACCCAACCTTCTCGATGACCTCAACGTTGTCCCTGTGATACAGCTCACTCTTCCAAGCACTGTTATGGGTGCCTCAATGACACTAAGCCACTAAGCTGAGCCAGGAGCCCGATCACGTGAATCGTCAGAAGGTGCGGCTGCTTCACGTGACGGCCTGGACGGCTTCAGCCCCGAATAACCCAAATCGCCTTCTCGAGACTGGATTCACTGTGATTCGCTTTACATGCACAGTCTCTCGCAAGTCTAAGAAGCACGCCGAGGGTGACCATACTCACCAGCGCGGCCTTCAACACGCTGCTGGTAGCTTCCAGCGCATACACCACGTGCATGTGCCCGTCTGCCTGCCGAATCGTAGCAGAGCTCCATATACCTACTCTAGTTCACGGCTTGACTCGCTCCTCCACACCATCCTGGCGAAGAAACCATGGAGGAAACCTCAAAACGGGTAAAGGAAAGTCATGAGATGTCATGCCCAAAGCAAAAGGGAGCCTCCCTGTCGCCATGTAGTATTGGTGAGCTGCCTCCAAATCCGAGCAACGCAGAACCAACTCTCCACTTTTTGAGAACATACGGTCATACAAGTGCCTGCTCTTCAGAGCTTCGAAGCGAAGACGTGCCGTGCAATGTCGTCTTTGCATCATGTTCCCTTAGGCATGTAGATGTCGCTCTCCAGCTACTCAGGACAATGTGTGTAAGAGTGGGGCCCGCTCCCAACTGCCGATGGCTTCAGGGAGACAGCTCGAATTACGCTGAACCTTCAGTGCGTTGAGGTCTGATGTACTTGTGTGCACAACCAACTGTTGCAAGCGGTAAGACTCAAGATCCAAGTGGCACAACCACATGAAAAGCCAGCCTGAAACCATCAATGAGGCAGGCTGACTTCGAGCTTGCACATGTGTTAGCACTTGGTTCAGAAGATCCTTCTCAACATCGCCCCAACTTCGTTGGTCTTCCCATGCTTCGAAGATTGACGAAGGCCTTGACATCACCTCACATCGCCACAGCAGCTTTGCTTCCTACTTCATGCAGTGTCGCACTGCAACCCAGCAGCACAGCTGCAGCCAGTTGCCGTTTTTGGCAGCAGAACCATGAGCCATAAATGCCAAACATGCAATGTAAAACGACAAGACATAGCAGCCAAGTCTGGGCACACAGAACTGTGTCAGTCAAAAAACTCCATGCCTGATGGAGGTTTCCCGGTAACACAGAAACCTGGCAGCAGCATGCAGCAGCACTCGACACGGATCAATGCACAGTCAGATTCATTGTCACTTCCGTCCGGCCAGTCTTGTCATCTTTCCCCTCGACAACTCAAGACTGCTGCTCTGCAGTCTGAACGTATGACAACCCTGCTGATTCAGAAAGCCATGATCAGCTACTGAAGACAACAAGTGGGATCGAGTAAACTGCTGGTGGGCCTGACCGGAGTCAGGAGCATGAAGACCGCGCACCACGCAGGGTCCTGCTTGGCAACTTCTTCGGTCGCACATGCTTGCCAGGCTTCGCTCAAACTACTATCACAGTCTCCTCGATTCTGCACATTCGTCTGTGCTGATGGTTGCGCTGGGCCCGCCTCATGTGAGGCACGAAGCCAACAATCGCTGCATGGCAGCCGGAATCGCACGTAAAAGTGATTTGGGACATGTTGCCAACATAGACGGACTTGCCATCGGACCTGCATTGCTTCGCTTCTCTCTCCGACACATTGTGCAACTGCAGTACATGTAATTACTTGATACAGACCGCTGCTGACCTTCCAAAAGAACGCCCCGATTGCGGGCACCAAGTCCCATCTGCGGTCTTTTCGAACTCCTCTTTGGATGATGCTCGTCAGATAAGGCTTGCCTGCACCCAAGGTGCCCAGTCAACAACTTCAGACAATAACTGAACTGCGCATGCGGAACAGCCTTGGTTGCAAAGATCTGCCTGAACATGCATCCTGTCCATTGCAAGCTGTCGACACCACCACTCGCCTACATGATGAAGTCACAACAGTCCTGTCTCCGCGGGTGCGGCGGTCGGTGAGCCTTCGCTATGGCACGATAGTTGGTCATACCTCCAACTCATAACTTCGCGCCGTCCGCACCTCCGGGAACAGCCGCGTTGCTTCATCCAGTCGGAGACGGGCTGTGGCAGTCATGCTACCTGGCACGTCAGAACAGGCGAGACTAAAGTACAGCATGAAGCAATGGAAACATGAAACGTTGTTGCACTGCTCCGTGCCAAAGCACCTTCCGACGTTTGCCGAAATGCACATCTCCATGGGCTTTCTTCCTGCATATGCTCTTTTGCAGCAAAGCTGAAAATACAACAATTGGCAGGCAAGTTGTTTCCTTCGCCTTGTACTGCTGATCCGAATCAACGGCCCGGAAGAACCTGTCGGTGAGTTTCATAACCACATGACCAAGCACTTTGTGCGTTTAATCATAAGGGATTGCAATTCCAAATGCCGCGATTCACGGAGCGTATGTAACTAGTTAGATGTGACATACAACAAGAACAGCTCTACAAAGCCCCACGTGATACACCCCATCTGTGTCACCCACGCATCAATGTCATGCCTCGGTGGTGAAAGCGAACGTGGACCTCTGGCAACGTCTTCCTGCAAGAATGCACATGCCCTTGACATCCTGAATTGTGGATGTCGCTAATCGTCAAGCAACAAAATCTCCTGTGGAAGCACACCTGTATCAGGGGTTGCTGCCTCGAAGAATGGTTTCATGGCTGGACGCGGCATGCGCGCAACAGCTACGTGCTCTAAACAATCCTGGAAACCAAGCATGTCACATCATGCCAAGTTGAAGACAGATGCTTTGTCCAAATCTACGTGTCTTGGCCATGCAATGCTTACATTAGTGTCCGCTTTCCGGCACAACCAGCAAACATGTTGCAATCGGACTGTGCGCTACAGCACACAAAAATCAAAACAGTTGCACAGAGCTGCACAGCCCAGACAGAATTCAAACCAAGCACATCGGTGCGCACGGATTTTGATTTTGTTGGGTACGCGTTGAAAACTGCATCATAGAGCACAAGATACAACTCAAGCATTACCTCGTGTTTCTTTTCGTGCTTGTTGAGCTGTTTGTTTCTCAATTGTCAACAATTTTTGTTGGCATGTAATCACAGAGCTTGGGACAAAAATCGGGTTCCAACCCTTGCTTTTTCACTTTCTACTGATTCTAGTGACTCTAGTGACATGCGACCGCACCGACTCGAGAATGTGAACAATCAAAACAAAGGCCTTATGAGAGTTCTGCACAGGAGCCACAATGATTAAAAAATTGAAACTGAAAACACTCACCGTGCATATGAGCACATGATGATGCAGCCTCAGGTTTTGTGTCATTTGCTCTCGCTTCGGTCTTGTCCAGTGGCTTCTAATGGCAAGTTGAAGCCTGAGTTAAGGCGAAAACCAACACACATTATGTTAAGGTGATCGAACACATGCACTCCTTTTCAATGGTCGCAATGCACACTCCGCCAGGCGGCAGGGAATCCTGCTGCTGGCTCAGGCTGGCTCATCCCCCTTTCGAGGCCTACAGCAAGCCACATGGGGCTACACCGGGCACAAGCCACTGCCGACACAGCCCGTGCCAGGGGCAATCGCGAAGCACAGCCCACTGGGGCCACATAGAGACACTGTTGCAAGAAGGGGTGGAGGGCGGGAAATTTTGTGTGCAGCAAGAGGTGCAAGCAGCGGCTGCACGCAAGCTCACTTAACACCCGTGTGTTCGCTGCATGCGCTTGTAGAGTGGCATGTGCGCGCAAACATCCCATATGTCAAAAGCTTGTCCGCAAAACCCACTGTCTGGTAGTGTCTTGTTTTCAACGATCGAAAAAATGAAAAAAATGAGCCGGGCGCGCCCCCTCCGGTGGTAACTTATGAATAATAATAAAATCCTTTCTAGCGCGCGCAGCGCATCCAGACGAAAAAACAAAGCTCGATTCAACTGCGCAAGGAAGGCAAGTACTCTGCCACCAGAGGGGTTCCGTCTAACAAAGAGGGTAGCCTCCTAGTGACTAGTGGTTCCGTCTGCAAAGCGACAGGCTACAGAGTCTGAGAAGCACACCACTCTACCACCAGAGGGGTTCCGTCTAACAAAGGGGGTAGCCTCCGGAGATCGTTGCGTCCTACGCCCCTGAG